ATGTTTACTACTATAGATAATATGTGGGTACATAAAACAAGCCTTAATACATTTAAAAGTATTGAATTCATCCCACATACGTTCTCTAGCCACCACAGAGTCAAATTAAAAATCAATAACCACAAGACATCAAGGAAAATATTAAATATTTTTAAATTAAACACACTTCTAAATAACCCACAGGTCAAAGAAGAAGTCACAGGATAAATTAGAAAATATTTAAACTGAGTGCAAAATAAAACATACCAGATTTTATGTAATGCAGTTAAAACTCTGCTAAGAAGAAAAATTAGCTTTACTTGCTTACTTTAGAAGATGAGAAAGATCTAAAATTAATGATAATATTTCAATATTAAGAAACTGGCAGCTGGGCGCGGTGGCTCACGCCTGTAGTCCCAGCACTTTGGGAGGCCGAGGCAGGTGGATCACTTGAGGTCAGGAGTCCAAGACCAGCCTGGCCAATATGGTGAAACCCCATCTCTACTAAAAAATACAAAAATTAGCCAGACATGATGGCGGGCACCTGTAATACCAGCTACACAGGAGGACGAGGCCCAAGAATCACTTGAGCCCAGGAGGTGAAGATTGCAGTGAGCCGAGATCACACCACAGCACTCCAATCTGGGTGACAAGGTGATACTTGGTCTCAAAAAAAGAAAGAAAGAAAGAAAGAAACTAGAAAAATGATTAAACTAAACCAAAAATAAGAAGGAAGAAACTAAAAAATGATAATAATAGAAATGGTGAAATGGGGGATTAGATTCACAAAAGAAAAAATTTGAAAAGCCAAAGTTATTTTCTACTTAAGTGTCCATAGACAGATGAATGGATACAGAAAATAAGATGTGTGTGTGTGTGTGTGTGTGTGTGTGTGTGTCTAGACATGTGTATATATATGAATATTATTCAGTGATAAAAAGAAAAAGAGCCTGCCATTTACAACAATGGATGAACCTGGAGGACATTGTAAGTGAAATAAACTAGACATAGAAACAGAAATACTGCATGATTTTACTTATATGTAGAATCTTTAAAAAGTCAAGCTTATAGAAGCAAAGGGTAGAACAGTGGTTTCCAGGAGCTGGGGGATGGAGTAAATGAGAGATGTTGGTCAAACCTTAAAACTTTCAGTTTTAAGATGAATTAATTCCGGAGATACAGTATGAGGACTATAGTTAATAATACCATATTTTTTACTTGAAATGTGACAAGAGAACAGATTTGTGATATCTTCACCACAAATATGCATACACGCACACAAATGATAACAATGGATGGTGACAGATGTGTTAATTAACTTGACTGTGGTAATCATTATACAACGTATATGTGTATCAAATCATCACGTTGTACACCTTGAATATATACATTTATTTTTCAGTTAAATATTTTTAAAAGCCCAAAGGTTTTCCTTTGAAAGGATTAACAAAAGTGATAGACCTATTGTTAGTCTAATCAAGAAAAAGAGAATACATATTACCAATGTAAGAAATAAGGATTATTACTACGGATACTAAAAGAAAGATAAGGGAATATTACAAACTTATGTGTGCCAATTAATTTAGCACTTAGATGAAATGAACAGATCTTTAAAAATACAAGTTAACAAAATTAATACTAGAAAAAATATAATACGCAAATGATTATATATATGTATATATATATATAATAAGTTTTATTTTTTTAATCAAAAGATTTACCACAATGAAAACTTCAGGCCTAGATACTTTAACTGATAAATGTTATCAGACATTCTAGAAAACAACCACCAATCTCACATAGGTTATTTCAGGAAAGAAAAGAGGGAGCACTTCTCAAACAACTTTAGGAGTCTAACTTTACCTCATATAACAAAATCAGACAAAGATATTACAAAAAAGAGAAAATCATAGATTAATATTCCTCATATACACAAACAGAAACATCTTTACAAAGCAAATAAAAAACAATAATTTATGGAAAAGATGGCTCATAATCGAGTGAAGTTTATCTCAGGAAGGCAAATATTCGCTTACCATTAAAAATTAATCAATGTGATTTAACATACTAATGGAGTAAAGGAGAAAATTATTTAATTATTTAATTAGATATGGCCTTAAGTTTTTAAAAAATATATAATAAACAGGATTAAACACAGACTAGAAAAAAGTGAAAAAGGAAGTCATAAACAGAAAAGTTAATTCTTCACAGGAGTAGAAAAAAATGCCAAATTTGTATGAAAGCACAAGAGACCCAGAACAGCCAAAGCAATACTGTGCAAAATGAGAAAGCTAGAGACATCACACTTCCTGACTTCGAAATATACCACAAAACTATAGTAACCAAATCAGCATTGTACTAGCATAAAACCAGACACAGAGACCAATGGAACCGATTAGGGAACCCAGATATAAATCCACACAATTACAACCAACTCATCCTCAACAAAAGGTGCAGGAATATACAATGGGAAAAGGACAGTCTTTTCAATAAATAGTGCTGGGGAAACTGTACAGCCATCAGCACAAGAATGAAACTAAACCCCTACCTCTCACCATATACAAAAATCAAATGAAAATGAAAGATTTAAGTTTAAGATCTGAAACTCTGAAACTATTAGAAAAAAAGCACTGAGGAAATGAACTAGGACATTGGTCTGATCAAATATATTTTGTGTAAGACCTCAAAAGCACAGTCGACAAAAGTAAAAATAGAAAAAAATTGGACTACATTAAACTAAAAAGCTCTGTACAGCAAAGGAAACAAAAGAGTGAAGAGACTACTCACAGAATGGGAGAAAGTATTTGCAAATTACCCATCTGACAAAGGATTAATAACCAGAATGTAGATAAGGAGCTCAAACAACTCTCTCTCTCTCTCTCTTTATCTATATCTATATTTATATTTATATAGATATAGATATATAAAAACACACACATATATGTGTATATATATATACACATATATATACACATATATACATATATATATACATATATATACACATATATATGTGAAAAAATGTCCAACATCACTAATCAGAGAAATGCACATTAAAACCACAATGAGCTATCATCTCACACCAGTTAAAATGTCTTTTATTAAAAAGTCAGGGAATAACAAGTGTCAGTGAGGATGTGGAGAAAGGGAAACCTTCATTCACTGTTGGTAGAAATGTAAATCAGTACACCACTAGGGAAAACAGTATGGAGGTTCCTCAAAATCCTAAAACTAGAAGTGCTATATGATTCAGTGATTCCACTACTGAGTATATATCCAAAAGAATGGAAAGCAATATATCAAAAAGATATCTACATTCCCATGTTTATTGCAGCCCTATTTGCATTAGGCCAAATGTGGAATAAACCTAAGAGTCCATCAGTGGATGAATGGGTAGAGAAAATGGATTATATAGATACAATGGAATATTATTCAGCCATAAAAGAGAATAAAATCCTGTCATTTGTACCAACATGGATGGAACTGGAGGTCATTATGTTAAATAAAGTAAGCCAACTACATAAGACAAATATTGCTTGTTCCCACTGATACGTGAAAGCTAAAATGGTGGATTTTATGAAGATAAAGAGTAAATTGGTGGTTACCAGAGGCCAAGAAAGGGAGTGTGGAGGGGGACAAAGAAAGGTTCATTAATGGGTAAAAATATACAGTTAGATTCAATAAATAAGACCGTGTTTGATGTCTCAGTGGGCTGACTATAGTTAACAATAATCTGTTGCACATTTTCAAATAACTAGAGGAGAATAATTCATATGTTTCTAGCATAAAGAAAAGATAAATATTTAAGGTAATGGATATTCCAATTACTCTAGACTTGATTTTTACAAATTATATGAATGTATCAAATTATCACACGTACCCCCAAATTTGCATATCTATTATGTGTTAATACAAATACATTATAAAAATATGAAAGCTGATAGTAGTAGAATGGAAGGTACATATGGAAGTTAGAGATGAAGAAAAGCAAAAATTAAGAGACGTGAAGGACAGAATGAAAAGTCCAATATTTGTCTGATAGTAATTCTAAAAGAAGAGAATAATCATAATTCATTGACAATAAATAAAGATGGAGAACTATTTGATGAAAGTCATGAATTCTTAGACTGAAGAAGTATAACAAGTCCTAAGCCAGATGAACAAAAATATATTCTCTCCTAAACAAATTATGTTGAATCTGTAAAAAAAGAAAAGACAAAGATAATATCCTAAATATAAGCAGAAGGGAGAAAAACAGAATACCTGCAAACAATTATACTCTGTATTTTAAAAACAACACATCCTCAAAGTCGCTGAGATAAATTTGTTTCTAGAAAATTGTAACTAGAAGTGAACTAGAATTCTAAACCGGTTAGAACATTTTTCAAAACTGAGGGTGAATTAAAAATAGAACTAGAAAAAGTTTACATTTGTAAAGCAATTAATAAAAATTGAACTTCAGCAAAAAGAAAATGGAACCAAGCCCCTGAGGGAGAAAAAACAAGTACAATGAAAAAGCAAAAGGAGGCAAAGAATTGGTAAAATATCACTGAAAATTAAAATAAATAGTAACCATTAAAGATAATAATGATTATAACAATAATTAGTTAATTAATTTTGATAAAATCAGTGGAAGATAGAGGAAAATATCTCATAACTAATCTCCTTATGTCCTATTAGAAGACAGGACAATACGTTTTTAAAATGTTTTAATTACATTTTGCTAAAATAGAGTATTTGCTGATGTTTCTAATTCAAGAGCTTTCTCTTAAATTCTTACTTTCCATTAACTTTGATATACATTTTGTGAATTTTAATTTAATGAGTATGACAATAAAACAATGTAAATTCCTTAAGCAGAAGAGGAAAAGTAGGGAAGTGTTAAATCTGGTTAATCTAAGAGAGGCTTGAAATAAGAAACAGGAAGAAAGAGGAACCCAAAAGAAAACATGATGACTAGAAAACAACAGCAATTTCTATTTATACTTGATCTCTTTAAACTTATTTTTCATGCCTTCTAGGTTGAAGGTGAACCACTTGTTCAACCAAACCAGAAATGTAATGCAAAGGACTCATTTTACAAGTCCTCTACACAAAAGTAAGCATTTTTCCCAATGGAATTTTGATTTTGGAATACATTTCTTTTTCCTTCATGACACATCCTCTTTATGTCTACAATAATGGATCTTATGAGTGACCCAGAGAACATCAAACACAGACATTTACTTACACTGATAGGTAAATAAACATTCAAGGAAGAGTCTTTTTTTTTTTTTCTTATTTTTTTATTGCATTTTAGGTTTGGGGGTACATGTGCAGAGCATGCAATACAGTTGCATAGGTACACACATGGCAGTGTGTTCTGTTTGCTTTCACCCCTTCACCCACATTTGGTGTTTCTCCCCAGGCTATCCCTCCCCACTTCCCCCTCCCACTGGCCCTCCCCTTTTCCCCCCCAATAGACCCCAGTGTTTAGTACTCCCCTCTCTGTGTCCATGTGTGGCACACTTACGCTTGATGGAAGAATAAAACCAAACAGAAAGTAAATGGTCGTAGAGGGGCGGGGGGATAAGAGTACAGCATCCTAGAAAGCCAAGACAGAGACAGCTTAAAGGGGGAGAATTCATTAAGTCAGCCAATAAATACATTGAGTACCTACTATGAATCTACATCTTAGACTATGAGCTACATCAGTGAGTAGGCAAAGATCTCTGCTCTCAGGGGCTCTCAGTATAAACGTGTAAATTGGTCTGTTCTCATGCTGCTAATAAAGACATACCTGAGACTGGGCAGTTTATAAAGGAAAGAGGTTTAACTGACACAGTTCCACATGGCTGGGAAGGCCTCACAATCATGGCAGAAGGCAAGGAAGAGCAAAATCACATTTTACATGGTGGCAGGAAGAGAGCCTGTGCAGAGGAACTCCCATTTATGAAACCATTAGATCTTGTGAGACTTATTCACTACCATGAGAATGACATGGGGGAAACTGTCCCCATGATTCAATTATCTCCACCTGGCCCCACCCTAGATAGGTGAGGATTATTACGATTCAAGGTGAGATTTGGGTAGAGACACAGCCAAACCATATCAAAAGGGAAACAGTAATAAACAAGCACACTAAGAAAGTAAATAGACTATATCTTAGAAAGTGACAGATAAGTCTACGAAAAAAAAAAAGAGAAGGTAGAACAGGACGGCAAAATCAGGAGTCCCACATGTACAGGGTAGCAAGCATCAGTAATAAGCAGGAGGTGTGGGAGACCTTTCCAGGTGCTGAAGGGTGTGCAGAAATTTGAAAGACTTGAGAGAGCAGCCATGCAGAGACTTGGAGTGACTCTATTCACAGAAGAGGGAATATAGAGCAAAAGCCACAGGTCAGAAGTATGCTTACGATGTTAAGGAAGAACAAAAGGCTAGGGGGCCTGGAGTAGGGTAACAGTAGGATAACAGGTGGGAGTAGCAAAAGAATAGGTCAGAGGAGTGCTAGGAACCAGATCCTATGGGACACTCTAAGCAATTGTAATTACCAGAACTGTCACTATGAGTAGTGTGATGCTTTATCAGAAAAGTGGAAAGATCAGACGTACATATCAAGGTAATAATCATGGTGGCTGCTGTGGCAAAGTAGACTTTTGCAGGGGAGGGAGGATGGAACACCAGTTAGGGGGTTATTGTTGTCATCTAGGACAGAGATAATGGTGGCTTGCAGGAGAGCGCTGGCAGAAAAATTTCTAAACAATGGTTGAGTTGTGGATTTATTTAGAATGTAAAGCCAACACAATTTTCTGATTGTGATGAATGTGGAAAAAGAGAGGAATCAAAAATGAGTCTAAGGCTTTGGTCTATGCAGCTGAATGTACTGAGGCTGCCATTTCTTAACAAGGTGAAGGCAGTGGAAAAGTCAGTTTCAATATATTGAATATAAAGATGTTCATTAGACATCCAAGTGGATATGTCAAGTAGGCAGTGTGATGTATGAATTTGAAGTTTGAGACAGAGGTCTGGGCTAGAGAAATAAACCTGGGTGTTGTGGCTTATAGAAAGGTATGTAAAGCCACGGCACTGAATGAGAACACTAAAAGAGAAGTGTAGTCAGAGAGGCAAAGGGCACTGAGTCCTGGCATCTCCTTAAAAAAAAAAAAAAAAAAAGAGTAGAAACCAGCAATCAAGACGGAGAAGGAACAGCCAGTAAGGTATGAGGAGGATGAAGAGAGTCTAGGAAGACAGATTTAGGATGTGTTCAGGAAAGAGTAATGAACGCCTATTCATACCATGCTAGGTCAAGTAGGATGAGGCCCAAGAATGGGTGATGGGACTGACTAGTGGATTCAGAATTCAGCAGAGTGATAGACTGAAGGCCAAAACACATGGAATGACACAGAGAAATGGATGAAGAGGGAAAGAGAGGCAGCAAACACTATAGAGAAATAACATTACCTGTTGACCTCAAAGTGCTTCATGTCTGCCCACTCTTCTTACTTTGCATGCTTTGAACACTTTAGACAGGCTTCACATTTCAACTTCATTTTTTTTTCATTCAAATTGTAAGTACACCCATGACCAAATACAGTATCACAAAACACATGTATGAATGTCTACTATCCCAGGGGTGTTATGAAAACATTTAAAAACATGATATGAAGTCGCGTTTAAAAGTATTAGAACAATATGAAGCAAACGCCTTGTTCATCAGCCATCTTGAAATCCAACTCTAAGGCTCAAAACGTATCTGCTTGCCAAATACGGGACTTTGGCATCCTCCATTCTTTTTCATCTCAATTGCTGAATGGTCCATAAATTCTTCTCTGACTTTTGAGTTTATTTCCCATTGTATTCTTGTCTTGATTTTTATTTTTAAAATCCTAGTGATCATCTCAGAAACAGTTAATATTTTGATTAAGGTCATGATATTTCACTCAAAATGGAAACATTTTATTATAAAATATCAAATCACAGTATTAAGTAGTTTCCCCTTAAAAATGTGAAAGTGTCCTTATGAAAAAAGTTTATTCCTCATGGAAAATTGCATAAAATATTTATGAAATATATCAGAGGCTCAAACAGTGAGGTATCTTTCAAGTTTTCATTGTACTCAGATTAACTTCTTATATACAATACTAGTCAGATATGTCAGAAAATATTTATGACTTTGCTATGATTTGAAATATCTTATTATATTAAGTAGTTTTTTGACACTAATTTTAAGATGTTTAAGTTCAAAATGTATTCTCACACAACAAAAATACTATGGACTCATCACTGATCTATTTAACTTTTTCAATATTATATTCTTTAATTTTCACAGCATTCCTATGTGGCACAGACAATTTTTGTATCGATCCTTGTTCATTCTTGTATCACAAGCACCTAGCACAAAACTTGAAATATTGTCATCTCTGAACAAATATGTGTTGAGGGTCACTGGTAATTCTTTTAAAAATGACTTTCACAGACACTGGGATTTTTTGGAGGGATATGCCTTGCCCATAGAATGGAAAGGTCAACTTGAGCACTAAGTGTGGATAGGGCAGGAGAAGGTCTGGGGATTCATCTATCTTGTCAGAATATAGGCTTTAGAATGAGAGTTGTATGTTTTTCACACAAGATCAAATTGGAATTGATTTCACTGTGTCTGTCATATATGTCTGTGAAAAAGAACGACTTTCAAAACTCCAAAGATTCCCATATTTGTGTGTACGTGTTTGTGTTTGTATGTGTGCATGTGTGTATACAAAAATTGCATTTCATAGGATGGCTGAAACCCTTCAACCATGCTAAAAAACTTGTACAATTTGGCTGTATTAGTGTGGAATAGTGGGAATGTTGCTGACTCTTAGGAGGCAGATGATCTGGACTTGAGTCCTGACTTTGACCATCAATAACTGATCTTAAGCAAGGAAAATCAATTTTCTAAGCTAGAGTTTATTTGTAAATTAATGGTATTCTCTGAAGGTCAAGTGAACATTTTTTGTAAACTGTAAGATGTGTGTACATTTTCTGCTTCTGTGGGACAGACTGCAGAATTTGTTATCTGGCAATCCTGTAGGTCAGAAATCTAGGCATGTCCCAACTGGGTTTACTATTTAGGGTTTCCTAAAGCTGGAATCAAGGTGTCAGCTGAGACTGAGTTCTCATCTTCCAAGATTATTCAGGTTGTTGACAGAATTCCATTCATTGTGGCTTTAGGACTAATATTTGCTTTTTCAAGGGCAAAGAACATGTGTTGCTGTTTTGTATCTCTTTTTAGAGCTTGCTTGCTTAAGTTAGTCCTAGTCAGGGTAATTCCACCTTTTGATTAACACAAATTCAACTGATTGGGGACCTTACCTACATGTGCCAATCTCTTAGGGCATATAAAATCACATAACACAGGCGTGCTACCTCATCATACTCACTTGCTCTGCCCACTGTCCAGGGGAGGTGATTATCTATTATATGAACACCAACGGGCAGGGATCTTTGGGGTCATCTTTAAATTATTCTTATTATACCATAATATTATTGTGAACATTACTAATTGAATAAGTTTTTCATAAGATGTTCCTATTTAATAACTTCATAGAGCTTATGAAGGTGTTCCTTGGGATAAGATGCTACCACGAAAACTTGATCCAGAAGAAACAACTTTGGAAAAAGCTGCTGACCCCATCTCACAATGTTTTACTCTGAAAAGATACGAAAGGGTGCCAGCAATAACTCAGGTCAGCACACTTCTCTGAGCAATAATATGTACACACACACACACACACACACACGGAGTTGAAATTTCCATAATCATACACAAGTTATCGATGACTGCAAATCCTCTGATATTTTCAATATTTAAAACTTTTATTATTTAAAGACTACCTCTTTCTCAAACGTCATTTGCAATGACTGTGTTTATTTTTGAAATTGCAAGATAATGAGTAAATAATGAAGAAGACAAATAATTTTACCGATAAGCTGTGCTGAGGATGGTTCTTGGCGTAGGATAGAGAACTTAGCTCTGTACTTTTCACGGCAAAAAGAGAAGATCCACAGATTGCTATCTGATGTTATCTCTTATTATGAGACAAAACAAAGCATACCAACTTGCCAGTAGTGACACCCATTCTTTTCATTTCTGAGTGTCAAGAAGAAGTTATCACAGGAATTATCACATCTATACCACAGCCAGAGAACTTTTCCTAATACTTGAATCTGTTTCTGTTACTCCACTGATTAAACACATCATTTTTGATTAAAAAATAATAATCATACTCCTTGACATGACACAGACCCAATTCTCTATTATTTGCCCATGGCTCCCTCCTTAACCTCATCCCTTGCCCGTTCTCTTCTTCTTACTGTTCCACGTTATTGCCCAAACATCACCCCACACTGTACTCTGTCCTATCTCTGCTGAGCTTCTCTCAAGTCCTCAAGTCTGCGATGCTCTTTTCCACATTGTGTGCTTTGCAGAGTGTTCCATTGCCTTCATCACTCTCCCTATTTACGCCAGGTGAATCTCAAGAATTCTTCAGGTCTCATCATAGCCCTCACTTTTGACCTTCCAACACTGGATTAGATGTCTCAGCTCTGTGCTTGCAAAGTACTTTCTACTTTCATTGATTCCCTTATCCTTTTTTGCCACTTTTTCCAACGTAGGAGTCTGGTTAAGCCCTTGGGCTGTTTCTCATAATGAAGTTTTTGAGTACATAAAATCCATAGGATTAAAAAGAAAATTGATTATATTGAAATACAGATATTAAGAGATGTATATCTTAATATCTGTATTAAGAGGTCCATTGATGATAGGTTAAGAAGCCCATATTTTCTTGTAAAATTTATTCCTCTTTTACAGAGAAAAATGATAATAAAAGAGGGAAAACATGACTTTAATATTAAGACTCAAACCTGAGATTTTCACATAGAAAAAGTGAATTAAAAGAAAAATATGTCCAGGCTTGGTGGCTCACGCCTGTAAATCCCACACTTTGGGAGGCCAAAGCAGGTGGATCACGAGGTCAGGAGATCAAGACCATCATGGCCAACATGATAAAACCCTGTTTCTACTAAAAATACAAAACAAAAAAAATAGTTGGGCATGGTGGCATGTGCCTGTGGTCCCAGCTACTGGGGATGCCAAAGTAGGAGAATTGCTTGAACCCAAGAGATGGAGGTTGCAGTGAGTTGAGATGGCGCCACTGCACTCCAACCTGGTGACAGAGTGAGACTCCATCTAAAAATACATATGTATATATATTTCAAAAAATATATATATAATATATATAATTCTACCTTTTTATATATTTTTGAAATATATATACACGTATTTTTGAAATATATATATATATATATATATACATGTATTTTCAAAATATAAAGCTCAGGATCTAGGCTGGTTTGGAAGTGGGAGACTGGCCTGGGTTTGCAGAGGGTAGGCTACAGTGGATCCGAGTCAGAACACTAGCTAAGGATGAAGACTAAAATCAGAACTTTAACTTGGGTTTCAATCTGAAACAGGTGGATAATGAGAGAGATTCCAGCTATGAGAAGACAAATTGAAATTGGAATTTCAATTTGAGCAGATCAAAGACCATGAGTGGCTCCAGACCAAATCCATGAAGTGCTAGGAAAGGTTGGAGAGTGCATTTTCTAGAGACCCTGGGACGTGGCTCTGATGTGGAATGTCAAGGGCATGGGAGCTTATCCACCAGAACTTATAAGGTGCTCACTAACTGTCATTGATTTTGATTATTATTTTTAGATGGTTGGTGACCTCTGGGACAGATTTCAAACAAGATCTTCCTTGGCACCAGTCAAACCAATTAATTTGTAAGTTTTATCTCCTAAAGTTCTCACACTGAATTTCTCACTACCATGTATTATAATTAAGGAGCCGATGCTGTAGCCCATGAGTTAGATGGGGTAGGTGAGGGACATGTTCTCTGACGAAGAGCATCCCAGGGACCCCCCCGACTCACATCCTTAGGGCTGGGAAGATGACCCGAATCCCAGGGCAGTTGCTTAGTGTGCCTGCTTCCTTTACTTCCTCTTCACCCTTCTTAACATTTAGAATATTGGAGGTACCACAACCATTTTGGAAACCTGAGTACAGTGGCTCGTGCCTGTAATCTGAACACTTTGGGAAGCCAAAGCGGTAGAACTACTTGAGCCAAAGGGGTAGAGATCACCACCCTGGGTGGTCTATAATTGAAATTGAGTTATAATTTCTCTTTTGTAGACATGGTAAGACATCGTCTCTACAAAAAAATAATAATAATAATTAGCCAAGTGGGATGGATGGTGGTACACCTGTAGTCCCAGCTACTTGGGAGGCTGAGGCAGGAGGATCCCTCGAGCCCAGGAGTTCCAGGCGGCACTGAGCCATAACTGCAGCACTGCATTTCAGCCTGAGTGACAGAGCAAGATCCTGCCTTAAAAAATAAATAAATATGCCAGGCCTGGTGGCTCACGACTGTAATTCCAGCACTTTGGGAGGCTGAGGCAGGCAGATCACCTGAGGTCAGTGCAAGACCAGCCTGGCCAACATGATGAAATCCCATCTCTACTAAAAATACAAAAATAAGCTGGGCATGGCAGTGGGCACTTATAATCCCAGCTACTCAGGAGGCTGAGACAGGAGAATCACTGGACCCAGAAGGCAGAGTTTGCAGTAAGCTGAGATTGTACCACTGTACTCCAGCCTGGGTGACAAGTGAGACTCCATCTCAAAATAAATAAATAAATAATTAATTAATTAAAATAAAATAACATAAAATAGGAAACACTTTACAAACAATTTGATATAAACAATTATAATGTCCCTAAAATCCATGGACTTTATATAAAATAGATCATAAATTATTTTCTATCAATTTTTGTATTATATGGTTACTTTGTGTTCTATTAATGTTAGAAACTATGGCTTTATTATTATTACTCCTTCACATGTAATTTTCATATAAAGTGTAAAAAAACTTGCTGTTTCTGCCTTTGAAAACATCACAGTATTGTCTGTTCATTTTTGTTCTTAACACAACCCACAACCCAGGTTATCATCTTTGTTTTTATTTTGTACTCATTTTTGAATAGTTTATATAAAAAATGTATAAACAAAAATATGATATAGTCTGTGTATCTGCTCCCCAACTTTAGAAATAATATATTACTTACATATTGAAAAATTTCTATGTAATTTTTCCTAAGGACCTCTATCTTCCTTGGCGAGCATGACTAGTATTCTGGATTTGATATTTCACATTTTCATGCATTCATGTAATTTTTAAAAACATACCACTATGGTTCCTAAAGATATTAACAAGATAAGATGATAGTATCAAATTTTTTTTTTTTGAGACGGAGTTTCGCTCTTGTTACCCAGGCTGGAGTGCAATGGCACGATCTCGGCTCACCGCAACCTCCGCCTCCTGTTGACCAGTATGGTCTCGATCTCTTGTCCTCGTGATCCACCCGCCACGGCCTCCCAAAGTGCTGGGATTACAGGCATGAGCCACCGCACCCGGCAAAAAATTTTTTTTAAAAAACAAAGAAGCAGAAGGAAAATTTGGGAGGTGTTGGATATGTCTATTACCTCAATTGTGGGGGTGGTATCATGGGCATTTGCATTATGTCCAAACTCATCAAATTGTACATGTTAAATATGTACACTTCTTTGCATATCAATTATACTGCAATAAAGCTGTTTTTAAAAGATTTAAAAAAACATATGTGTTATTGTTAACCAATATATGTAATTGTGTTCTTTGTTTATAAACCCAGTATAAGTGGTGTCATACATATATCTATGCAACTTTAGATTTTTGTTCAGTATGTCTTTGTCAGATTCATACCTGTTGACATCTGTGTCTCTAGGAGTTCTCTTCCGTTGCTGTAGAGTCTTCCATTAAATAGATGTACCAAAAATTGTTCATCCATTCTCATAATTATTTTCTGATTTTTGTTATAGTTGGTACAATGTCCACATACCTTCACACATCTAAGTGTAAAAATATTTCTGAGTTTTATATACTCGTATTTATGTCTAGAATTGTTGTGTCGTGTGGTGTGTACTTCTTTTCTCTTTAGATATTGCTATGTTCTTCTCCAAATGAGTTTTACCAATGGAATCTCCCATTAGAAGTGCTTGGGTTCCCATTACTGCACATCATAGCCAGTGTTTAGAATTTTCAGATTTAAAAAAATAATCCGGTCTTAGGAATATCAAATTGTACTCCATTATAATTTTAGTTTACATTTACCTGATTACTAACGATCATTTTTTGCAAGTTTATGACCTGTTTGAATTTTCACATCTGTAACTTGCCTGCTCATATATTTTGTTCCTTTGGCTGTTGGCTTGTCTTTTACTTATTGATTGTCACAACTTTTCTGTTTAATATTCCGAGTAAAAATCCTTTCTTGGTAATATGTATCAAAGTAGCCCCTTCGAGTCTGTGACTTTTCTATTTTAAGACTTTTCTTTCTATTTTTGCTTATCTGAAGTTTTGAATTTTAACGTAGGTAAATTCATCAATATTCTTCTTCAAGTCTTGTTATTTTTAATGAGCATTTCCCTGCCTTGAAATAATAAAGATATCCTCCTTTTATACTTTTTATAACATTTTTTCTAAAATATTTACAGTTTTGCTTTTCACATTTATTATTTTTTAAGCATTTGATGTTTTCTTATGATAAGAGCCAGGGATTCATTTTCTCAGCATAAGTAAGCCATTATGCTAGTTCAGTTTAATGAGAGGTTCTTACTTAATCGCTTAATAAGTGATTTGTAGCCTGTTGGTTAAAGCCTGTGAATGCTGAATCACAGCATTTTGCAAAAATGAAGTGGAATAGGAAATATAAAAGTGAATCACATGGAATTTATCTTTTTTTTATTGTACTTTAGATTCTGGGGTACATGTGCAAATCATACAAGACTGATTCATAGGTACATTCATGGCAAGGTGGTTTGAGGTGGTTTGCTGCCTCCATCCTCCCATCACCTATACCTGAAATTTTTCCTCACGTTATCCCTCCCCACCCTCCCTCCCACTATCCCTCCCCTAGCTGCCCCCCAAGGGTCCCTGGTGTCTGATGCTCTCCTCTCTTTGTCCACGTGTTCTCATTGTTCAACACCCACCTATGAACGAGAATATGCGGTGTTTGATTTTCTGTTCTTGTGTCAGTTTGCTGAGAATGATGGTTTCTAGGTTCATCCACATCCCTACAAAGGACATGAACTTATCATTTTTTATGGCTGCATAGTATTCCATGGTGTATATGTGCCACATTTTCTTTGTCCAGTCTATTACTGATGGGCATTTGGGTTGGTTCCAAGTCTTTGCTGTTGTAAACAGTGCCGTAATGAACATGCATGTGCATGTGTCATTATAATACAACGATTTATAGTCCTTTGGGTGTATACCCAGTAATGGGATTGCTGGGTCAAATGGAATTTCTATTTCTAGATCCTTGAGGAATCACCACACTGTCTTCCACAATGGTTGAACTACTTACACTCCCACCAACAGTGTAAAAGTTTCTCCACATCCTCTCCAGCATCTGTTGCCTCCAGATTTTTTAATGATCGCCATTCTAACTGGCGTGAGATGGTATCTCAATGTGGTTTTGATTTGCATTTCTCTGATGACCAGTGATGGTGAGCATTTTTTACAGTCAGCATTTTGCAAAAGTGAAGTGGAATAGGAAATATAAAAGTGAATCACATAGAATTGTAAAATGGAACTATGTAGTCTTCAACAACTACTGTGGGCAATTATGAAGAATAGCGTGATACAGTCAGACATCACATTCAAAAAACACGCTGTTGCAGACAAAATTTTTGAGTCCGTCTTTTGCCCCCTGGAATTTTATCTGATTTTCTGCTTTTATAATGATCGATTTGATCATCGCTTCAGTGGAATGGTTAATTTTGTACATTTAACTTTATATTTACCTCATCTAAATTAAATTTAAAGTAAAATGCAGGAGATATTTGTCCACAGCAAAATTAATGAGAGTTTTTATCTAAATTTTAATTAATGAAAATCAAAATAAAAGATATCATTTTTAAAAATTTTTAACAATTTCACTACTTCAATAAAAGTAGTATAAAGTGACTTTAAGGGGAATGTTTTGCTTATTGGGAGAAAAAGAGAAATGGAAGTACACAGTGCTGTACTCAAGTCTGACTGCTGGATCTAGAAATGCAAACAGTGACAATATTGAGAAGAATATTGAGTCTTATCAGAAAACTACCATTTTATTGAGCCATATCTAAAAATTATATATAAGATTTTTGAGAAAAAATATTTAAAGTATGGTTTTGTCAAATGTGAAAATACTCCACTATAGACTCCAACGTGAAAAAGTGAATGGTAATCACTTTAATAAAAGATTGAAATATTTAAAAATTTAAGATTATTGTTTATATAGCAAGCTGAAACTGTTGATAATCCCATTCGAATATCTTTTTTAAAATATACATGTTTTGTACTAATTTTTAACATGTGAACGTTAGTTCTAAAACTTTACTGGTATTTTTAATTTACATATCATGTGTAAAATGGCAAATAGCTCACTGAGATGATAATTTCTTTATTCCAGTTTACATAGATCTACTTAATTTGTTAGTTATAAGTCAGCTGGCAAATGAAAAGCTATGTGTGTTAGCACTGCCACCACCTCAGAATTCTTCAGCATACTATTCACAGTGAAAGCCTCCTCTGCGTAAATGTTCCTTCTGAGAGCCCATACAAAAACCTATATGTGAACGTTTGGAAAAGCTTTGTTTATAATCTCCAAAACCTAGAAACAACCAAGATGTCCTTCAGCAAATAAACAGATAACATACTAGAGTATGTCCATGCAGTGGAATACTACTCAGCAATGAAAAAGAACACATGCAACACACAATAATAAATATGAATCTGAAACACATTTGAAAGCAGTCAGACCCAAAAGTTTATTTATAATAAGGTTCCATTTATTTGACACCTGGAGAAAGCAAACTACACCCTTAAATAGTCTCTGTTTAAAATTATAAACCTTTAAAGGTCAATGCCTATGAGGTGTCTGTGAAGGCTTTTATTTTAATTAGAGAAATACTGTAATAGTTTGAGGTTTATTAACAATATAAATAACCCAATTGCCTGTATCTTCTCTTTTTTGAAGTGTGAGTTCAAGTTCTCAAAGTAAATATATTCCTCTCTATACGTAAGTAATGTTTCTCAGTTTTGTAAAAAAAAAATGTTAGATTTACATTTTGGTTGTAGTTGCTTTCAGCTCACTCATGTTATAATTCACTTTTTAAGATAGCTTATGTGTTGTGACAGATTTCTAATGTTTACCTGGCACACAGTGCCTGTTTACTGTCAGCAGTTCTATGTAAGGTTTGATTTTGATGAAAGAAAGAGAGAGAGAGAGGGAGAGGGAGGATGGAAGGAAGGAAGGAAGGAAGGAAGGAAGGAAGGAAGGAAGGAAGGAAGGGAGGGAGGGAGGGAGGGAGGGAGGGAGGGAGGGGAAGGAAGGAAGAGAAGAAGGGAGGAAGGAAGGAAGGAAAGAGAAAGAAGGGGTGGTACTTTTCTGTTTTCCCAAATAGGTTACTTTTTGAAATAAAATATCTTGGATGCTACTACTATTGGGTGTTATGAATCACAAAAACAGTTAAGAAAGAGGGACAAGGAGCCCATTAACATTAAAGTGTAGGAAATGTCACCTCTTATTTTCTACATTTAATGCTGACTTTCCATGGCTGGCAAAAAAAAGTATATTATCTACCACTTGGGGTCTTCTCCTGGTTTTTAGATGGAAGAAGAACCTTGAAACAAATCTTGCAACACACAAGTGTTGAAGTAGATCCACGAATGTGAAGGAGGGCTCTGGACCTTTAGTCTTTGCTCACCCCCTCCCATTACTCGGCCTCTTCTCCTCTGCAGTTGAGTAGTGTTTCTACCAGTGGCCCCAGAAGTCCTCAAAACTCTCTTTGATTGACATCAACTCAATCTCTCAACTTTCTCTCAGGCCCAAGGGCACGTGGCTAGTTGCCCAAACTCCTCAGCACCTGTGAGGGTTTCTGCCCACTAGGAGCCTTGTTATCACTGGCACACACCTGCCTCTGTCTTGCCCAGCCTCCAGCCAGTATCCAGTAAAGGAGTTGTGCGGGGGCTGCAGGAACAGCGGCTGCTTTGCTCAGAAATACAAAACAGCCCTTGCTCTCACTCTGGCTCCAACTTAAGACCAAGGAGCATGGCACCACTCATTCTGAAGAAGAGAAATTCATCTTTGTATTTTTTAAGGACAATTGTTCTATTATTATGCTTTACATTTGGCATTTTGAGCCTTTGATCTGTTTTGGCAAATAAATTTCCCTTGGAAGTTAGAATACTGTTCAATAGTTTCTTCTGTGTTTCTTATAAAGAAACGTATGTCTTCTTTCCTTTCCACTCCGACAGTGGTCATGTGCAGTCTACAAATGCTGATGATGTTGACAACCCCTTGGGAGACCTCTCATCCCTAGCCAGGCCACGGTGCTCTAAGCCTCTGTATACAAACACAAGTCGGTGAGTTCCATTCATGATTATTTCCCTTATTTTATTATTAAAGATGAAACATGGTGATGGACTTTACTATAAATGAAGGAATTTAAACGTGGCTTTTTATTGAACATAGCTGAAGAAGAAACATACCTGCTGCCTAAAAGAAATGTAGTTTGTCACAAAGGAGATTTTGGGGATTGACTTACTTGGGGCCCTTGAGCAAGTCAATTCGTTTCTGTGACCTCAGTTTCCTCATCTGAAACTTGGGAGAAAGAAAAGGCCACCAAGTGAGGTGATCGTGGGGGGATCAATAACATTTGCAAAGTATCTGAGACGCGGCTGATAACTAACAGAGGAATCACTTTTACACATAGGAACTTGAAGGCTGCTGTGCTGTGCTTGGTCCTGAGGAAGGTGTCAGTGGCGGGATTCTGCCATACATTCTGCAAGGAAATCATTGCTATTACACATAATAATTCTAGTAATCTAAAAAAAAGAATATAGGAAGAAAACCAATTTAAAATATTCTTCAGGCACCACAATTTAGGATTGTTTCTTCTTTGATAAGTATATCTAAATTTTGAAATGTTTTATGAAGCATTCTTGCTAAAGAATCAAAACATATTCTTTTGGGTCATTCTTCAAAAAGAGTGAAGAACAGTAGCATCGTTTTTTAAAAAATTGACGTCAAAATGAGCCACTTAACTTCAATACATTCGGGCGTATAGCATTCCTACCTCATTTAACTTCTGTTCTTAAGCAAATGAAATCTTGAGCGAATCATGTAAAAGAATCGAAGACATTAACTGTACTTATCTGATTTGGGCACTAGAGGGCCTCCAAGGTTGCAAAGTTTCTTCATTTGATTAGTTTTCATTTTTTAACGGAATCTTAACCTGCTAACACAAAGAAATGTTTTTCATTTCTATTTATAAAATATTTATAGATGCAAAAAGATATAATAATGTCATATATAACATATCAAATAACATAAGTAAACTCCTGCGTATCCCCTACCTGGTAACTTACAGAAACTTACTCCAATCTTTTCAACCACACGTGTGGCCCCAATCTCATTGCCCATGCTTCTGCCTCCCCAGCTCAGAAATTACCCCTGTTAGACTTATGCTTCTCTTTTGCTTTCCTTTCTAGTGTTGGTACACACATATGAATCTCTAAACAGATTACTATGTAGTTTTCACAGTACTGCTTGAGCTAAAAAGCCAAGTACAGGAGAATACAAACGGTATAATATCATTTGCATATGAGCATGAGCATACTTTGTGTCAAGGAAGGAATAGAGTGTGCCATCCTATTCAAACGCAAATATGTCTCCTCCTGAATTTTTCATCTTGAAGTTTCTTGAAGAGAAATGGCTTTATGATACTATCTTTAGGGTTTTTTTCTTTTAAAGGATTGGTGGCACTTAATCATGGCTGGCAAGCCCCGCTATACCTCTGCCTTTTCAATGAAAGTATTTATTTATTTATTTCAAGACAGAGTCTCACTCTCTCACCCAAGCTGAAGTGCAGTGGCATGATGTCAGCTCACTGCAACCTCTGCCTCCCAGGTTCAAGCGATTCTCCTGCCTCAGCCTCCTGAGTAGCTGGGATTACAAGTGCATACCACCAAGCCTGGCTATTTTTTTTTTCTGTATTTTTAGTAGAGACAGGGTTGGTAGAGACATGTTGGCCAGGCTGGTCTCCAGTGGCATGATCTCAGCCCATTGCAACCTCCAACTCCCTGTTTCAAGCAATTCCCCTGCCTCAGCCTCCTGAGTAGCTGGGATTACAGGCGCACACCACCACGCCCCACTAATTTGTTTTTTGTATTTTTAGTAGAGACGGAGTTTCATCATGTTGGCCAGACTGGTCTTGAACTCCTGACCTCATGGTCCACCTGCCTCAGCCTCCCAAAAGTGCTGGGAATACATGCATGATAATTCAGATATTTTTAAAGTGTAGAAAGTAAAATATCTCTTTAATTTTCAATCCCAACATTAAAACTTTGATTTCTTTTTAGACTCTTCCCCTCATGCATTTATGAATGTGTGCAACATATATGTACAAGTGTATTGTGTGTGCAGGCATAGGGGGAATGTATATGTGTAAGTCAGATTGATATTTTTCCATATTAAAATCTTTGTAATGGCTGCACGTATCCCACCAAGTCTATCACAAGTTTATACAGCCCACGTCCTGACTTTTTTTCTTGTAAACAATATAACAAAAGCAGCCTCTACTTGTATGTTTGTGCACTTATCCATGCATTCTTGTAGAACAAATCACTAAAAATGAAATTGTTGCTGGACGTTTCTTGTTAAAACAAAACTATTTTCTGATTTGGTAGGCATGCCCAGTTATCAAATCACATTTGGAGTTCAGGAACTCAAAATATTAAGTGGTTTTACTGCAGTTCCTAACTTATAACTTGAGACTAGTTTAGGAAATAGAGAGAATCCAAAATAGTCATTGGGTTCAACAAAAATTATTGAAGCTCAGTGTAGCTAAACAATTGTGTTTGTTTCTTTAACAAACATGTACTATTGACTGAGTCTGGGTATTGCTCAGGAATTTTTTTTTTAATGATACAAATTCATCCCCACTTACAATCTGTGTCAAGCAGAAAGTTAAGGTAAGACTGAGATAAGAATCCTGGTTTTTCAGGCCGGGCTCAGTGGCTCACACGTGTAATCCCGGCACTTTAGGAAGCTGAGGTGGGTGGATCACCTGAGGTCAGAAGTTCGAGATCAGACTGCCAACATGATGAATCCCCATCTCTACTAAAAAATTAGCTAGGCGTGGTAGCGAGCGCCTGTAATCCCAGCTACTCCGGAGGCTGAGGCAGGAGAATGGCTTGAGCCTGGGAGGTGAAGGTTGCAGTGAGCCAAGATCACGCCCCTGCACTCCAGCCTGGGGGACAGAGTGAGACTCTGTCTCAAAAAAATGAATCCTGTTTTTTCAAATCTGATCTTTTTACCCTCTTTAATATAAGATCCGTATTATTTTCAAGGGTACAGCAAACAAGTTTGAATAGATGCTCAGTCCCTTTTAGTAACCATTTTACAGTCCCATATAGTTTCAGTGTTTTGCAGACATGAGTCATCAGCATAAGACACATAGTAATTTAATGATCTGTAGTGGCAGATCTGTGTCCCTTCATAAAAATATGGAAAGAGGATGTTGGGGTGCTTTTTCTTTTGTAACAGACTCTGTTGGAATTATATATATATACATTATATACACACACACACACACACACACACACACACACACACATATACAGCTTATATATGGGAGAGAGCTCTGGGATCTAACATACATGCATCTCACTCTTGTATTTCTGAAGAATACACAGGCTCAGCCCAGGTGAGGTGCAGGCCCAGCTAAGAGAGCAGCAAAGCCCGTGCCTTCTGATCCTAAAGCCAGCACTTGCAGTCACCATTTGCTTGTTTTTCCAAACGAGACAGCGGCCTCTGAGATACCATCCTCCACTAAGTTATAATCTTTTATCTCAGGACGTTACACAGTTTCATATTTACTGTGCTTTTTGACCTCAATGATTTCTCTGAGGAAGCATTTGCAAATAAACAGGAATTGTCCAACACGGACCACCAGGCAGCCCTGACAAATGTCTCCCATTAAAACTGGGGGCTTTTACTGCTGATACTTAGAGATGAGGTCATAAAAAAAAAAAAAAAAGAAAAAAGAAATTGGGGGCTTCTCTGTCAGTCACTGGCTGTGTTGCCGCTTAAAAAAAAATCTTACCACAACCCAGGTTAAAGAATATGAATAGTAGTTCCTTAGATCAGCCCAGCACTTCTGCCCTTTCAGACTACTTTCATACACTCCCTCATTTGTTTTTCAAATAGTGTGATGAGGCCAGAAATGAAGGAGCAAGTTCTATCCCCATTTTGCAGATGAGGAGGCTGAAGCCAGAGGAAATGACACAAAGAGCCAAGATAACTCATTTCGTAAATGGTAAAAAGAACAGAGAACTGGTCTCCTAATGCCCGGGGCAAGCTCTTGCCTTAACTCACATTCAATGTGGCTTCTTCCTCTGGCAAATAACAGGTTTTTGGAGCTCCAGCCTCAGCTATAATACAAAAGCTGTGAGTTATACTGTTTCTACATTCCCTTCTAAATGAAAGAATTGAAGATTCCAAAAACACAGGAGGAAAAAATATGCCTACTATGAAGAGAAAAATCAATAAACCTGTAATTCTTAAAAATCATCTTGTGGCCACGACAAGATCTTATGATAATCAGAAAAATGCAATCCAATGACCAAAGGCCATTGCAAAATGATTCCAGTTTTATTTGCGACAAAAAATCAGACAAACCCCAACTCACAATAGACTCCTTTCTTTTCCTCTCCAGCCTCATCTCCCTCACAGTTCTCTGCAGTCCCTCCCTTCTCTCAGCCCTCTGAGCCAACCCTCCAAGTCTGGGCTTTTCTACTCTTTCTCCCTATCCCAATTCCTGCTTCCCTTGCCCACCCTAACTCCCATCCACCAACCTGCTGCTCCTCTCATGTGGGTCTGCACCTGCTGCATGCTGGGCACTGTGCCAGGCCTTTATTTGCATCACATGGCCCACCGCACCCTCCAAGAGCATGCAGCTGCCCTGAATCATGGCCGATTATAAGTAAGGATGGCTCAGAAAGTTTCAGTTGAGGTCTAAGTTCACATAGCTGGTCAGGGCAGCCCTGTAATTAAATGTGCCTGTCTCACACCCCCCCTCTCTTATGTTGCATCTCTGGTCTTTGTCCACTTGGGATCTTTAAACCTTTAAATGTGCCTTTTTAAAATTAAAAGTATTAGTGTGAAAGCTGCCAGGAGCTAAGCCTGCTTGATGTCTGCCTAGAACTGTACCTGATATAGAATGGCTCTAAATAAGACTGTCACATTTATTGGAACCTGCACTTACACCCCAGCATGTATAAATGCCATCCTCTGTGAGCTAACAAGGCTCTCCTGGCTGGGCTGGAAGTAATGCCAATGGTCCTTCCCATTCAGTTCAATGGCACTGAGGTCCGCTTCTGCCACTTGTCAGCCTCGTTGGTGCTGGCCGTGTTACTTAGACTTTCTCTGCCTCAGTTTCTCCATCTATAAAATTGGCATGATCATAGGACCTATGACACAAGGTTATTGTGAGAATTGAATAGTCAACTTATGTAAGGCATTTAAAAGGGTGCCTGGAATACAGAACCCATTCAATGACTGTTAGTCGTGTTCACAGTGTAGAGTGAGAGTTTGTATGCATGCCTAAATATTATGCACATATATGCTACATATATTCTACATATAACATGGTTTTCTCTGCATTTTTCTTATCTCATATTTAGCTTATAATTATATACCATCTGTGCTCTCTTCTTCTGAGTTACTAAACTTCTTGATTTTCTTAAATTACTTAATTTCTATTTTATCATGCTGTGTTGAGAACCAATTTGTTGTAAACTTGGGCAATACTATATTCAAAGTTATCAATTAGTGAACAAAATCCTGGCTTATTTGGAACTAGGGAGTACAAAATAAGGTGTTTGAAGGACTAGAAGCTGTGGGCAAAGGCAAAAGTGAAGACTTCTTATTTTTAAGTGGGTCTCTGCTTCTCTCTGCTTTCCTCAAATGGAGAGTGGAATTCTTTGAACATGCAACTAATCTGGAAATTCGTTTCCCAGCTTGTACGTTTCAGTATCTTTAATAGCTTTGTTCCCTCCAGCTGAAAAATAGTATCTCCTATCAGCAGCAGTTTAAAGTGTCCCCAGAGAGTATTCTCCTCTTAATATAAGGTCAGTGTGTTGCACTTAAGATGGCAAAATTCCCCTTGGTATGGCCCTATATGCAAGGGTTAAATGGAATAGATTTAGAAGCAGTGTGGGTGAGGACTTTCGTTTTCAAATATTTAGCCGTTTATTATTGAATTCATTCTCAAGCCTGAGCAGCTAATCAGTCTACTCTTTCATGATATGTTATTATTAAATATGATGTAATATAATAGCATTAAGACAATGTAACATATGATACCATTTAGCATCAATAACCTGCATGCCACAGAGGCACAGAGGCTGTGTGATGTTTTTTATCAAGCCCTTCGTGTGACTGACAGATGGCCTGTGTCCATCCCTCTGACTTTAACTGCTCTGATGGGAGGATATGACTTTAGAGGCATTTTAATTCTGCAGGTGTTTCAAAGGCAGTGGAAAAAACCTTTCACACAGATGGAGGGGATTTCCTTTGTAACATGCATGGAAGCTTTAATGAATGTTTGGGGGAGAGACACACACACGCATGAATAACTTTGCCTCACTCTGGGTTACCTCTCTAACTTACAGCTTCACTTTTCCAAGAAAATTCCAAGAAATTCTGCAGGGCACTGCCTAGAATTTGGCAGCTTTGGTTCACTCACCTAGGTCCCCCAGCAAGCTTGACAATATGGCTCTAAGACAGAGGCTCCTGAACTTAGCAGCACAGGAGAATCATCTGGAGAGCTACTGAAAGCCCCAGTGCTCAGGCCACACCACTTACTAGTTACATTTAAATGTGGGGGTGTGAGCCAGGCATTGGTACCATTAAAGACGCCCCTGAGATGTCAGTGTGCAGCACCACTGGGAACCTCTGTCTTAGCATCTTTTCAGCTGTCTGTACTGAATAAACTTTGCAATCTCCATGTACATGACCCTTATTTTGTAAATGTTTCATTTCTTTAAATTACTGTATTTCAGCTGAAATTAGTTTAGCATCTATTAAGTGCTAACAGTTTGCTAGCTGCTTTCACATTCATTTAATTCCTCTAATCCCCAGAGTGTCTCTAAGAGGTTGTGTTGTTGACCATGCTGCAGTTGACTGAACTGACGCCCAGACAGCTTTCTTCACTGGAGGAAAACCTCACAGTTGGTTAAGGGGCCGAGTCAGGCTTGCCACAGAAGCCTGCTTCTGAATGCAGTGTGGACTCCCCCACTATTCAGCTGCCTTATTTTCCTAGTCTCACAAAATCTGTTATTTTGTCCTGTTTATTCTGGTGTTGAAATGGGTGTAATTTGCCTTCACTTTGTTAGTCTCTGGGTGTCCTTGATTATATCACCTGCAAGCCAATAAGTCCTCACCAATAGAGTCATAAATTACACAGCTGGAAAGGCGGGGCACGGTGGCTCACACCTGTGATCCCAGCACTTTGGGAGGCCGAGGCAGGTGGATCACGAGGTCAAGAGATTGAGACCATCCTGGTCAACATGGTGAAACCCCGTCTCTACTAAAAATACAAAAAATTAGCTGGGCATCGTGGCCCGTGCCTGTAATCCCAGCTACTCAGGAGGCTGAGGCAGGAGAATTGCCTGAACCCAGGAGGCGGAGGTTGCGGTGAGCTGAGATCACACCATTGCACTCCAGCCTGGGTAACAAGAGCAAAAACTCTGTCTCAAAAAAAAAAAAATTACACAGCTGGAAGAAAATTAGGAGATTTATTAATGCAATTCCCTACCTGATACATATTTCCCCCAAATATTCTGATATTCGCACATACTCAAGGTGAGAAAGACAGTAAGAAATGACAACGTGAATCCTTCTCATTGTTTCCAGGTCTCTGTCACCCAAGTCCTTCTGGTTGGTATCATTACCCGTGGTCAGGCTGAGGTTAGAAGGCTCCAAAAGACTATGTTCAGTCCAGACCCCAGAGATGATATGGGGAGCTGGGGTCTGAGTCTTCCTCCTCCCAACCCTTAAGCACATACCCCTTTCACTAACCTCTCTTCTACCTGCCTCATCATCTAATACTTTCAGGAGCAACTCCTATAAGCTCCAAATTTTGAAAATGACTCCTAAGATAAGTGGTTCCTGGAGAAGGCTTTGTTTGGCTTACTGGTTATGTGGGAAGGTCGTGGATATAACCGAGACAGCCACTGAAGAACCATTTCTCCACTGCCCACAGAGGTTTGCTTGTTGCTACTGTGTTGCATTTTGTCTGAGCCCCAATTTTAAGGGGGAACCATGCCACAGGGATGTCCTACTCTCAGAGAAAGGCCACAAGGATGGCAAGTGAAAGCCAATGAGATGAGTGACATGTGCAGACTGCCCACTGGCCCTTTCCTCACTGAGGCAAGTTCATGATGGTGGCCTTTCTCATTTCTCTTGGAAGTCAGCACAGTGAGTCGAGGCTGTGGCATTGGTACAAGTTTGCTAAGATGGCAAGCTATTAGAGCCTCATGATCTGCAATAGTGTGTTCTTGGACTTTGAAATACAATTTAAATCTTATTTTCCTCAACTCCCTGCAGTTAAGGCGACATGTGGTGAGCAGCACACAGGATGGAGCTTCACACTGGGCTTGTCCCATAAGCCAGCCTTACCCACCTCGTAGGAAATAATCTGTAAACTGCTTTGTATGCTGTCATGGCAGGAATATTGATTATTCTTCACATTCCTTCCTCTGAACTACCTACTTAAACCTTTCTCTTGAATGCTCGTGTGCCTTTTCTAGAGAGAGAGAGCTTTATACACACTGAAGAATAAATTCTTCATTCCTTTTATCTCCCACTGTCCCTGGTGGAGAAAAGAACAGGGAAGCACAAGAGTCAGCGGAATTCGACTAAACAAACTGCTGTAGAATTAATGCTGGTGTACATTTGTTTTCAATGCGCAATTTTAGGAAATCATCTGAAATCTGTAATACAGTACATTAATGGTGATAAGAAAGACATTTGATAACGTAACACCACTATAATGTAAGAGCAGATATTTATTCATATTATATTCATTAATATTAGAGTCCCGTTACAGAGATACATGTGGGATACAGGTCTGCTGATCTGGTAAGACCTGGTATCTTCCTTCATTATAAAACAGAGCTCAGCAGTGAGTCATGTTTGTAAAAGATGTGGAAATTTAAAATAGGAGAAAAACATGCACTTGAAATAAATTTTATTGACCCCAGAGTAGGGCTGTTAGCTAAGTGCCTGTACCCCAGGCCGGCACCATTTCCTTTTTGGAAAGCCCAAGTTCCACACCTTATGTCGGGTGGGGGGAGAAATTTAGACTGCATCTTTCTTTATATTTGTTCATATTTGGGTCCTAGTTACCATGACAATTTCACAAATCATCCTGTTAATTTCCTCTCTTTCTCCTCTCTTAACTCTTTACTTTAGTGCTGCAAATATGCCAGGATATACCGGCAAGGTTCATTTCACAGCCACCCACCCAGCAAATTCTAATATTCCATCAACAACCCCATCACCAGATTCAGAACTGTACCGGTAAGTGTGAATCCTATTACTCAATTTGCTCAGATACATTAGGAGGGGAAATCCTAATTATATTCCATTAAAGAACAATTAAATAGTAAAAGCAAATTTACATTGTTTTTAAAAATGAAGCATCAAGTCCGAAACAGAGAGGAGATAATTTTCCATTTTCCTATTGAGGGGAACTTCATTAAGCCTTTTGTGTGTTTCCTTTTTGAATCTTACCCAAAATTATATTGAAAACCAGGTGTAGATTAATGTTATTATTAATGTGGCCAAAAAGGGCATATGAAGGTATTTAAGGGACATTAGAGGAACGGCATCTTTGCTTCTTAGACTCGCAGCTGTGCACACACATCACCCTTCTCTGTGACCATCAACAGACACATGGAACACACCTCAGATACATGGTTACTTCTTGTGAACAGCCACCTTATTTTTTATAAAAGACAAAATTCTGTTGAAAATCATATATATTTTTAAACACACATTTTGCAAATTGAAAGCAGGAGATGTGGCCAGGTGTGGTGGCTCACGCCTGTAATCCTTTGGAAGGCTTAGGTGGGTAGTTCATTTGAGGTCAAGAGTTTGAGACCAGCCTGACCAACTTTGTGAAACCCCATCTCTACTAAAAATACAAAAATTAGCCAGGCGTGGTGCCATGCACCTGTAATCCTAGCTACTCGGGAGGCTGAGGCAGGAGAATCGCTTGAACCTGGGAGGCAGAGCTTGCAGTGAGCCAAGAGTGCCACTACACTCAGCCTGGGTGACAGAGAAAGACTCCATCACACACACACACACACACACACGTAGAAAACAGGAGATGTTAGATGCAAGGTTATTACAGATTCCTTTATTTGAAGCCACTAATGAGAAGGAACACGTCATTGCTCATTCATTATAACTTAAATTTGAAAGCACCTGATGGAAGTTGTGGCCTTGCAAACTATTTTGAAAATGCAAATGCAGTCTGAACCAGGTCTAGTGGCTGGCCCAGTACAGATGAATAGGCTATCACAGTAGGAAGGTGGACTAGAGGGGGAGCAGTTTTCCCTCAAAAGGAGAGCTTTTTCTCCTAGATCACATTCTTTTGGTAGAGGATTCATTCGTTTATCAAACATTTATTTTATTTTATTTTATTTTTTGAGACAGAGTCTTATTCTGTCACCCAGGCTGGAGTGCGTGGTACAATCTCAGCTCACTACAGCCCGTCTCCTGGATTCAAGAGATTCTCATGTATTAGCCTACTGAGTAGCTGGAATTACAGGCGCGCACCACCACGCCCAGCTAATTTTTGTATTTTTGGTAGAGATGGGGTTTCCCCATGTTGGCCAGGCTGGTCTTGAACTCCTGACCTCAAATGATTTGCCCACTTCAGCCTCCCAAAGTGCTGGGATTATAGGTGTGAGTCACTTCACCTGGACTTATCAAACATTTGTTGAGCATCGATTCTGGGCAAGGCACTGTTCAAGGCACTGGACGTACAGGGATGAACACACAAAGTCCTGACTCTCAAGAGCTTATGTTCTGTTACAAAAGATAGACAGTAAAGAAGCACACAAGTTACTGAAGAAATGAAACAATAATCTTAGCTAGTGAAATGTGCTGATGAAAGAAGACTGATTTAGGAGAGAGTGCCTTGGGAGGGGCTTGCTGATCTTGGTGGTCAGGGAGAGCTTTCTGAGGAGGTGACTGTCAGGCCATGTGTACCAAGCCAGAGCTCCTGCTCTGATCAACTTCTTAAACCTTCAGTAAGGCACTGGCTGTGAATGGGAGCAGCTGCCATGCATAGGCCTCTTGAGCTGTGGCCCTGGTCCACCCCGCTGCTCATCCTCTCACTCACTCACCCATTTGCTGGTGGATTCACAGGTTCTTTTACTGAGTCAACACATGTTTACTGTGTTCCAGTAAATCACAAGAACTGCTTGCAAGGCACTCACCCTCTTGCAATGAGAAATAAACAACTGCAGCAGAGGATGAAGAAAAGTGTCTTAACACTAATAATCACTTCTGTTGACTGAGTACTAACTCATGTCACGGTCCCAGGATCCGGCGAGGAAGGGAATGTTACTATCCTCATTTTACAGATAAGAAAACTGAGGCACACAAAAGCTGCCTGGAGCTCTGGGAGGGGGCACTAAAGAAGACTTCACAGAGGAGTGGCTCATGCAGTGACTTGGAAGAGTGGGGCTTGGCCCCAGCTAATTAAGGGCAGCAAGCATTCCTTATGGCGCAGTAAAGGCACTATAGGGGTTGGGTCTCAGGCCCCAACTAGCCCATTGTATGCCACTGTGTATAGACATGCCAGGCATTCCACAGGCCCTGTGTGTGCTGCCTTTTCTAAGGTGCCTGCCAATAGGAGGCTTTATCAACGCATCGCACTCTCCGGATTGGTGATTGTCTTGCATCTCCAGGCCATCAGATGAGAAACATTTTAAAAGGAAGTCAATGGCTTTCTATGCTAATAATTTGCATTTGGTTTTCTCTCAAAACACATTTTTTTTCCAGTCTCAATATTTGCATGTATTTAAAAAAATAAATTCTGCTGTGTATATCATCATAACAACGTAATATTATGAAGAGATATGGGTGTATAGTAAAATGGTTACTATAGTGAACATGTTAACATCCATCATCTCCATAGTTACCCATTGTCCCCTTCTCCCTGTGGTCAGAGCATAGAATCTATGACCTACTCAGCAAAAGTCCTCAATACTATACACTATGACTCCCTCTAGTCCTCATGATGGGCCTTAGGTCTCAGGCTTGTTCCTCCTGAGTATCTCCTACTTAGTATCTTTTGACTGACATCTCCCATTGCCTCACCCCCCCACCGGATTCCTCATAACCACTGTTCTATTCATTATCTCTGTAAATTTCACCTTTTATTTTTTTTTTTTAGATTCCACATATAAGTGAGATTGTGCAATATTTTTCTTTCTGTATCTATTAGCGAAATGACTTCCAGGTCTGTCCATGTTGGGCAAATGGCGGGATTTCTTCCTTTTTAAGGGTTTATAATATTCCATTTTCTTTATCCATTCATCTGTCAGCAGACACCTCTGTTGTTTCCATATGTTGGCTATTGTGAATATGATGCAATGGACAAGGGAGTGCAGGTATCTTTATGAGGTGGTAATTTCGTCACCTTTGAGTATATGCCCGGAGAAGGGATATGTTATTTTTATGTTTAATTTTTTCGGAAAACTCCATACTGTTTTCCATAATGGCTGCACCAACCTACATTCCCATCAACTGTTTATAATTTCTCTACACTCTCATCAATGCTTATTATCTCTTGTGTTTTTGATGGCAGCTATTCTAACTGGTGTGAGATGATATCTCATTCTGGTTTGTATTTCCCTAATGAGCAATGTTAAGCACTCTTTCATAGACCTGCTCACAATTTTTGTTATCTTTGGAAACATGTCTGTTCAGGTCCTTTGCCCATTTAAAAAGTTGTGTTATATGTTTTCATGCTATGGAGTTGTATGCATTCTTTATAAATTTTGGATATTAACCCTTATCAAATATACGGTTCCCAAATATTTTCTTCCAGTCTGTAGGCTTTTTATTCTTGCTGATTGTTTCCGTTGCTGCACAGAAGCTTTTTAGTTTGACAGTCATATTTACTTATTTTTGTCTTTGTAGCCCAAGCTTTGGGTGTGATATACAAGAAATCATTGCCAAGGCCAATGCCAAGACATATTTTGAAACATTACAAATCTATTTCCAAAGGCAGAGCTGTTAGACATTTAGACAAGTAATATATATTTACTTCACGTGAAGGACATAAAACAATGTCAAAACTAAATACATCCTTATATTGATCATTTAGACTCACTGTCCAAAGAGAGCTGGAATAAAACCCTGTGGCTGGTTTATGATTTATGAGGGATCAAACTCAAAGATTCTTTGTCTGTCAGTGTAGATATAAACATTGATAATCCCTCATCTTTTTTGTTCACAATCCATCTTCTCACCCGCAAATCTTGGATCCCACCCTGATATCTGATTGCTCTAACATATCTACACATAAACAGGTCATCTAATGTGTGATAAAAGGTTCCTATTATCTTTCAGATAAATCTCTATTTCTAAATGAAAAACTGTCCCCTACTGTTACTCCTAGAGAATATCACTTATACCTTTCGGCCAGACTCTCACATCTAGATTCAGGTCCATGGCTGACTCTTGGGGATCTTCTCAATTCATCTCAATATGCACATTGCACACATGGCTTTCACCCATGGCCCTAATATACACATATACTGTGCATATGGCTGGCTGTCATCCATGACCCCAGAGTGGGGACCCAGAGCCCTCTGAAGTCGCTTCTCTGGGAATCTTATTCTCAGGGTGCAGATAACACTCTAGAGAAAGTGACACTAACCAAAGTGTCACCCACAACTAAGTGATGATTTGTGCTGGACCCAAATGTCAAGGCCTGCACCTCTGCATTCTCCCCTAACAGCAGCTCCTGGCGAGCAGTGGTGCCCTGGCATGAAAAAGCCCAGTGGGGAGGGGCAGGAGGGATTTAAATGTGTAAAAACTCACTGTGCTTACATAAGCACTGTGCTCTCCAGCAGGAAGGCCTGGCCCTTGTGATCAAAAAATTGGGCCTTCCAGGCTCTTCACATCATGAAGTATCACTCTGATTGTATCTAACACTGTAAGTTATTTTTCTAAAACTTTCCAGTGAAAGTGGGAGCCTTGATCTCTCTCTGATGAGTATCATGAGAACGTAGTGAGCTAACTTCCTCCTGTTTCTGCTTGATCTGATGCATTTTTTCCTGTTATTTCTAAGAAGTCATCTTTACACGGGCATTCCCTGGGAACTCCTGAATATTAGCTGCTACTGTACTCTCACTGCTCCTCTGCAATGGGTTCCTCACTTATTAAGAGCTAATGCCATTCCCTGTGATGGCTGTCTTCAAACCCCTCTGTGCCACGCGAGCTCTCAGTCCCTTCGCCATGCCCCTCTCAGCTGGTCTTGCCTCCTGCTTGTTGGGACACCCAAGGTGACTCCTTCATCTTCCCTGCTAGTGCACCCTCCTCCTCTCCACATCCCAGACTCTATTTCTGTCACAGCTGCCTCCCTTTTCCCCCAGAAAGACATGCTGTCACTTTTCTAAAATACTGATCATTATCTCTGAGTTCTCAGTCCTGTGGTCCCATTAAGTCCTGCTTCCTTCCTTCCGCCCCACAGTGCTGGCCTCTCCCAGCTGGCCAGTTGTTTATGAAGAACCCAAGCGGGGTCTCCCCACGGCTTTTCTCTGAGCTGCCACCCTGTTCTCTCCTCTCATTCCTTTCACTTCTAAACTTCCTGAAAAAGCAAACAGCTAATCTCCCCTGCCTCCTGCCCTCACTTCCTTCCTGCCCACTCCCTCCTGAATCTGAACCTCCTGGCTCTAGATTCAGACACCAGCAGTCAAGTGAATGCTCCTACCTGTCAGGTTGTAGGCTGGAAGCGGAGGACAAAAGAGAGGCCATCGGATCCATGTGATTCTGAGGCAAGGAACAGTGCATTTGGCTGGATCTCTGTAATCGATCAAACTGCACTGGTGGTTTGGAGGTTTTAAGTTGTTTAGGCCTCAAATGCTGATGCAAAGAGGGTCCAGGGCCATATACTCCCCACACCGTATTTGGAGCAAAGTGCACAGGGCCCCCACAGTGCCTCAGGATGAATATAGGGATGGAGTGCAGACTGAGAGGGGACAGTTGGAGAGATTTGAAGTGAGGAGATGGGGTGTGTTGGAGACGGAGAAGTCATGAGCAGGGGAACATGGGCACAGATGCTTTCGTTAGCTCCATTTTCACCATGGTCCAGTGTTTCTTGCCCACATCCTCCCACCAGAATGTAACCTTCACAGAAACTTGCCTTCCCATCTCTGCAGCCATTTCTCACAACATACTATATATATGTGTGTGTATGCATATATATGTATATATACAGCAAAATAAAATATCAGTTCCTGGTGATTACAGCATAAGAACAAAGCCATCTTAGATGTAGTCGGTTCATTTATAGAGGGTTCATTTCCCACACCAGCATTGTAACTTGCTGCTGATACAAACACTGCAATGTGTGTGTGATTCAAATAGCATCAAATTCACAGCAAAATCACTTCCGGCCATGGGCTTATGGGGTTGCTTATAATAGCTGGCCCAACTCCTGTGACACTGGGGCAGTCAGCTCCAGGTGGAATAGGGAGTATGGGAATGCCACTAACCCAAGGGGATAAAATATCACTTGCAAAGCATTCCTCATTTTCAAAGCTTTTAAAAAAAATTTTATTAATTATCACACCAAAATTGATATGGCAAATTAATTCCCACTGGGTAGATTAGCAAAGTAAAATGAAGCCCAATCATGAACCTCCTGTGGGAACAGGCAGCTTAAACGCAATGGCAGAACCAGTAAAACCCTGTGCACAGGCTCCGGCCCACTGGCCTTGCCTACCCTCCCCCAGCAGCCTCTGGGTGAGGCCCAGGCCCCACCTACCCATGTCTTCTCCTAGCCTCTGGCCTCTGGATGAGGCCCGGGACCCCCGCCCATGTCTTCTCCCAGCCCCAAGGTGAGGCCCAAGATCCTCCCACCCCCCATCTCTTCTCTAGGACTCTGGGTGACCCAGCCACATCTTCTCCTAGCCTCTAGGTGAGGCCCGGGTTCCCCGACCCATGTCTTCTCCAGGTTGCTTGGAGGTTATATGTCTTTTATGTGTCATTTTTCTCCTTGTCTCCCCATCCTGCCGCAGCGTCTTACGAAGAGAAATGGCAGTTGACCTCTTCCGTCACCAGGCTCCACTGTCACGACTGGTCACGACTGTGAGACCCTACAACCCCTTCAACAAGAAGGAAAAAGAAACCCTGGACTTCTAGAGGCGGAGGCCCTGCGCTGGCTGTCCCGGCGCTCTGCCCAGAGAACGCCCGTGCGGCGGTGGGAAATAAAGGCGGCTTCTGCCCGGCGCAGTGCGGTGTGGTGGGGTCGGTGCTCTCCGCCGGCCTGCGCGTCCCTGCCCGGCCCCGCCTCTCTCCTCCCGCAGGCGGCGCTCAGCTGGGCCCGGGGCACCCGCCCCTCAGACCCCAAAGCCGGCAGCAGGGGAGCAGGGGTTGTGTGGCTGAAGATTCCTCTTTAGGGTTGGAATATTGGGTCCACCTAGAGGTCTCACATCCGGACCACTTCAGAGCAGGGATTCTACAGCAGAGCAGACCACAGCAGGTCTCAAAGGGGATCGAGTCAAAAACCCACATGCTGTCCGTGGGAACTCTGCGCTACTGAGGAACTGCGTTCTTTCCTCCCAGAGGACGTCACACAGGGGCACAACATCTACACACTCTCTCTCTCCTCTCTCTCTCTCACTATCTGTCTGAGACGGAGTCTCGCTCTGTCTCCAGGCTGGAGTGCAATGGTGCGATCTCGTCTCACTGCAGCCTCAGCCTCCCGGGTTCAAGAAATTCTCCTGCCTCAGCCTCCCTAGGAGCTGGGACTGCAGGCGTGTGCCACGACGCCCAGCTAATTTTTGTACTTTTAGTAGAGACGGCGTTTCACCGAGTTGGCCAGGATGGTCTCAATCTCTTGACTTGGTGATCCGTCCACCTCAGCCTCCCGAAGTGCTGGGATTACAGGCGTGAGTTACCGCCCGCGGGCGACATCTACCCCCTCTTGGCCTGCTCCAGTGTTTCCCTGAGAGAGAAGCGTTCCCCAGCCTTCGTGAGGGTCCTGAGGTCTGAGTCATGACCACTCTGGGTTAGAGGGTGGCCTGACACGGTCTTGACCAAAGAGAGCACCCGCTTGGGGAATCTCAGGGTTGCCTGTGGGCTGAGGGGGAGCCCTCTGGCCTTCGGAATACACAAATTAAGTGTATTTTTACAGGGTTTGCACACATATAAACATACACAGAGCCTGTTGGAGTTTACAAAGTGCTTTTGCAAACCTTAGCTCGTCTGACCCTGCAACCTTGTAATAAATTCTTGTAGCGGGCATTTTACAAATATCTTGCATTTGATGAATAAAATAGACTAAGGCCAGGAGAAGTGAAGTATTTAAGATCATGCAACTTGAGTTATTACTGGAATTCAGGTTTTCCGTATTTAGTTATTATACCTCTCTTACCCCTCCACTTTTTCCCAGCAGATTGGATAAACTTCAGTGAATTATAAAAACAAAACAAATAGAAACAGGAAAAAAAATAACCCTCCCTGTGTTTCTAAACTTTTCTGAAGTGTCTCAGGGTTTTTATCTAACTTCTTCTAAGAAATTCAGATCAAGATAGTTATCCTGCAGAACTCCAAGTAAAAATGTGTAAATGCTTTCGGGGGTAGTTTGTTCTTGATTTTCCCACAGAAAGGGAGAAGCCGGCCACCTTTGTGATGGAATCATGTATTGCCTCAATGGGCAACAACACAGACTCGGATGGTGAGTGCTCTACCAGGACAAAAGAGGAAGAGCAACAACCATCCATCCTGAGGGTGGACATGCCTTCAAGCAAAGGAACGGCTCCCCATGAACCCAATCTTGTAGTTTAGTTATTTTTTAGAAAGAGTAAATTGGAAAAAAAAATAGATCCAAATAAAAATCTTCAACTCTGGAACATTCTCAGAAAAACACAAGTGAGGCAGTATTAGCCTCATTCAAGAAGCAGATTAACGTAGGTACCTGAGATTACATTTTTCAGTAAACATTCCTGGCAGGCTACTTTGTCAGAGGTGCGTGCTGCTCAAAATCTGAGGCACCTCTTCATCATTCTGGGCCTGGACAGGGCTCCATTAGTACTGGATCTTCACATTTTGCAGGCTAACATAATTTTTCCATTCTCTATGCTGCAGATACCTAGACACCTGTCAGAGAACTTGAACGCTCCAATGCTGCTTCTAGAAGGATGTTGACTTTGTAGCATCCTTAAGCTTCATGCAGAAAAAGAGAGATGGTGACTTTCCATTTGCACTCTAACTTGTTCAGATTTCTCACTTGTGAAATTAAAATGCAAATTCTGCTCACCAGAGACCTGAAATCCAAGGTCAGCCACGACAACGAAGAACATAGAGTGACCAGTGTTCCTAACCCTGACCTGTGGGTGTAAGTCATAGTATTGGGGCTTCTGTGGTCAGCATTACAACTAAAAGTCACAAAATCCATGGACGATAGACTCAGGGATATGCATCTGCTCTTCAGATTCTGAATTCTGGTCTTGCGTTGTTTCTTGCACCAGGAGCCAGCACAGCTCTGCCTCATCAGACTGACAACTTGCCCCTCACTCCCCACCCTCCAGGCACATTCTTCCCTATAAAGTCACCCTCTCAGCTTTTAGTTATTCCCAGAGATGACACAAATACAGAGAACTGTGGCATTTTTATAGCATTTAGGTGAAAGCTGTTATACATTACACAGTTCACCTGAGAGAGAAAAAGGCATGCTAAACCAGGCAGTGGCTCATACCTGCAATCCCAGCACTTTGGGAGGCCAAAGTGGGAGGATTGCTTCAGCCCAGAAGTTCAAGATCAGACTGGGCAACACAGTAAGACCTCGTCTCTACAAAAAAATCAAAAAATGAAGTAGGAGGATCACTTGAGCCCTGGAGATTGAAGCAACAATGAGCCATGATTGTGCCATTGCACTCCTGCTTGGGTGACAGAGTGAGACCCTGCCTCAAAAAAAAAGAAAAGGAAGAAGAAAATGCATGCTAATAGTGTTATTCTAGCCAATAAGGATGTTAGAATGCAACATGCAAAAATATTACAAAAGTACAACAATCTGAAAAAATATGACACTCAACGCAGAGTAGAATGGAGATGAGAATTGAACAGAGGAAAGCATTTTAAACCCGTGAGTACAGGGTAGGTTTTTTTCAATAGATGGTATTGGGACTACTATTTGAAACAAAAAAGAAATATAGATTCACTAAACGAATTGTTCCTAGAATCCAGACTTAAATAGGTAAGTTATAGATTACCTGGAAACTCAGGGGAATTGGTTTATAAGGTGGAAGGTGTGAAAATTTTTTCCAAAAAGGACACTGAAGAAGGTAAAAAGCTACTTTCAGCATAAAAAATACAATCAAAATTTTAAGATAAACCTGTCAGGAAAATACGTCAAAGGATCCACATTCTCATTGTAAAAACAGCCTATTATTTAAAAAGTGATTAAGCTAATCGGAACCAGTTAAAGGATATTAACAACAAATAAGAAATATGAATGGCCAATAAAATTTTTACACCTCAGCCATATTAGAGAAATAATGGTAGTATTTCACTTTTCACCCACAAATCGGTGCTGATGAGCAGAAACAGACGTCTGTTTACCACTAGTAGGAGTTTACCTGGGTAATGCCTTCCTAGGGGATACCTGGCAAAACGTTTTAGGAGCTTTCACAAGTGGCATATATTTCAACTTGGTCATTTCCCTTTTAGGATTTTATCAAAGCAAATAATTACATAGTGAGCAAATATATTTGCATAAAGAATTAAAGGTGCAGCATGATTTAACTGAGAGAAAATGAGAACAACCCACTGTCCTGTAGGGTAAACACACCTGATAGCAATAACTGAAGCGTATCGTTAGAATGACCCTTATGGCAGATGCCTCTGTCCCATCTCGTGGAACCAGTTAAAGGATATTATGGCTGAACAAGAGGTCGAGGCCCTGAGTTTTGGGTTAATGAAGATTGACAGGTGGAGTTCATTATGAGGAGGCTGTTAAGGGAAAATGCTATACAAACTGCATGCCGTTTGCAAGCAGTTGCAGTTTTCCTGCCCAACCTGCTGCCACTGGGTTATGCTGTCCAGGCTACCACCACCATTTCTGTAACTAAGGCAGTCCTATTATCCAGCCTACCGCCACTGGACTCTCTCCCCTGTATGTTTGCCCCTAATAAAATCTCATGTCTCATTTGCTGTCTTTGGCTCTCTTCTTTGGCTTCTTCAACCTAGTGTCTTCCCTATTGAGCTGCATAGGAGTTCAGTACAACATGCCCATCAAAAGAAAATGTGATAGGCCCAGCGCGATGGCTCATGCCTGTAATCCCAACACTTTGGGAGGCCAAGGTGGGTGGATCACCTGAGGTCAGAAGTCCGAGACCAGCTTGGCCAACATAGTGAAACCCTATCTCTGCTAAAAACACAAAAGGTAGCCAGACGGGGTGGCAGGCACCTGTAATCCCAGCTACTCAGGAGGCTGAAGTAGGAGAATCACTTGAACCTGGGAGGCACAGGTTGCAGTGAGCTGAGATTACATCACTGCACTCCAGCCTAGGCAACAAGAGTGAAACTCCATCTCAAGGAAAAAAATAAAAATAAAAAAGAGAAAATGTGATAAATTGTTGTACATTAATATACTGAAATATAATATATATACATTGAAAAGGTAATAGCACTTCATATTGATTATCATGGAAAGATATGTGTATATGGAATACCGGCAAATGCAAAAGCAGGTATTACAGCAGTGTGTATTTAATTATTTAAATTTTAAATATATGTATCCATAGAATAACATAGAGCAATGTAAACAAAAGGTTAATAGTTATTAGTTCTGGGATTACAGGTGATTTCCCTTTTATGCTGTTCCTACAGTAGGTGTATATTCTTAAAAACTGGAAAACTAGAGAAGTTATAAAAAAGTCGGTATCCTTTCTCTTCAAAGGACCCTACATAAGAAACTATCAAAACATTCCTTTTAAGAATTTAGTACCAGAAAACTGATTGTCCCTCCTGAAAAAGCTGATTTTGTAGTATGAGAATCATGTAAGTCACCCGTCTCAATCGTCTCTAAAATCTGCTGGTTTATAATATATACAGGAGTGAAATTACATAAGGTAAAGTGCTTCCACTTTCCCCTGCCTGCCAGGGAGCTCAAAGATGAAGTGAATAAATGTATTAACTTATAGCTTAAACACTTTAGCCAGGGTTCCACATTCAAAACAGACATTTGATTAAGCCACTGATGGAGTCATTCTGACCCAGTTTCCACCCTGAGAATCACTGATGACTCTGATTGTCTGTGTGCCTGCTTCCTACTGCATTAGTTACATTTTAATGAAATCTGTACCTCCTCTATTTCCTCAAGGATATGAGGTATTTCCTAATACTGTAAGGACTTAAAGTGGCCACAAAAAAATCGAAAACCTACGTGCCTTAATGTTTAATTTGTTTCCCATAAGTGTTTCATACACAAAATGGAGCATTGGTTTTAGGAAAGAAAAAAATTCGACCCCTCACCTAATAACTGTCCAAATTGCCTTTGTGGTTAGAGAAGGCCGTTATCCAGCAGTAGGAATAACTTACCAAACCAGAATTATTTTCTAATAAGTGAGAATATTACGAATTTAATATATTTCTACTTTTAGCCCAGTGTAGACGGGATTATTTTTATGTCTGGGAAGTGCAAAATTTTGCATTATGATCCATATATTGCTAAACAAAAAACTAAGAAGGAAAATGCAAATGAAAGGGCTATAATGAAATAACAAACAGGTGTATTTCTCCAAAAAATAGATTTTCAGGATTCATATATTAAAATGTCTACTTCGACAGTATTTTTCACCCCCGCTCTCCCATAATCCTGGGGAGGCAAGGAGGCATTCAGGCTTCAAGCCTGGGTTTCAGACTCAGACTGAACAGGATCCAAGTCCTGTTTCCCACACTCTCCAAGCCAGCTGAATCACAGCCTGGGGTGACAACTTCCAAAAGTGAGTTAACAGTCACCTAATACAAACATATAAATAATGCTATGACTATAATTACCAACAAAGTTATAATGGTGGCCTGAGAATTTCATTAACTGAGATAACATATCTACACTTTTCAGGTGCAACAAATACCCAAGGACACCATGATGTGAGAGATGCCTGTGGTTCAGAAGCCTCTGGGCGCCACATACAATATCCAAGTCAGCAAGCAAATGGAGCAATGAATAACAAGTCACTAAACAATGCATGTGCTACGCAGGCTGCAGAGGATATCAACATGCATGATCTCCTCAACTCAGACAAGCACAAAATTAAACCTAGTAAATTGTGTGATATTTCTCTTAAAAAAAGATACTGCATTAAAAATATATGTTTTATTGTAAGATAAATGTACTTCTCTAAACACAAATAAACAAATATACTTAAGGGATCATTCAGGTATAAGTAGATATACATATTTACTATAAAAATACTTGGTTTACCCAAATTAACGCTCTTTCTGAAATTGAGGATTCTTGAATTACATTGAATTTGGGGGAGCAGCTGCTAATCAGGATGTGGGTATCTAGTAGGTGCCTAGGACATTTTTTGTAAACCTGTATATAAAATGCAGATACTCTGGGCTGGGCGAGATGGTTTTCAGTGTTTGTTTGTTTGATTTGACTTTGTGTTAGAATACATCCTTATGCATTCTATCCAAATGGTATTCAGAAACAATTCTGTGGTTTTATTTGATGCAGTTGTATCTTGTTCCAATATGGTTGGTTTGAATATGCTCACAATTACTGTTGTCAAAGCAGTTCCCATTTCACCCTCTATAAAGGTAGATTCCTCATGGAGCGGTGAAATTAACACTGAAGAGCTGTTTGAGCCCTGTTCATCTTACCTGCTGATTACAGGTGCACAGGAAGTGTGCTGGTTTCTTCTGTGCCGGCTCAGACTTGGCTGGTTACCCAGACTGGGTTTCCAGTGCAAACCCACTGGTTCTACTTTGTAAACTGTAAATAGAAACAGATTTACTTTCTTACATGCACACTTTGGAAATAAAGCCCTAAGAAGTGTTCAGTGTAAATCTATGTTTCCAGTGCTGGTAGACCGTTTTTACTGTGTGTTCCGTGGGCAAGCCACAAGATAAAAGATAAAGTGAGACAGCACCGGGTAAGGACAGGCAGGAAGAGGTGTCTGGGCAGAGGGGGGTGAGGAAGAGGCACTGAGGGTGTGGTGCCCTGAGATTGTAGGGTGCACATTGTGGAGGGTTGGGGTATCTGCAATGGAAGGTCAGTGTCACAGGATCAGTACTGTCTGCTCTGGAGGAGCTGATGATCAGGGCCTGGGCAAAGCCCTGGGATGGCTACCCCACAGTGCTAAGCACTGTTCCAGGGCAGGATTGCTGAGCTCAAGGCAGGGCTGTGGGCTGGGTGAGAACCATGCCAGGCAAAGCAGACATCAAGGAGAACTGATGTTTGATAGCTGAGGGTAGAGGGTGGTATCAGAACACTGACCATTGTCCAATTCCTGCTAGAAAGAATGACTCCCAAATGCAAATCTGTATATTGAGTAAATATTTCCCAACATTTAATGGCTTTGTACTATGCTATTCATACTCAGTTATCTAAGAAGATAAATACAACCAAGGTCTTCCCTGAGAAGTTTACTAAAAAGTTATAGTGTTTTGAGGTAGATGTTGAATGGATCCTATCCTGGGATAATTCATATCTATATACATAATTGCACTTTAGGTTCTGAGGTACATGCGCAGATCATGCAGGATTGTTGCATAGGTCCATATATGGCAATGTGGTTTGCTGCCTCCATCCCCCGTCACCTATATCTGGCATCTATCCACATGTTATCCCTCTCCAACCTCCTTACCCCCCACTGTCGTCCCTCCCCTAGTCCCCACCAATAGACCCCAGTGTGTGATGCTCCCCTCCCTGTGTCCATGTGTTCTCATTGTTCAACAGCCACCTATGAGTAAGAACATGTGGTGTTTGATTTTCTGTTCTTGTGTCAGTTTGATGAGAATGATGGTTTCCAGATTCATCCATGTCCCTTCAAAGGACATGAACTCATCATTTTTTATGGCTGCATAGTACTCCATGGTGTATATGTGCCACATTTTCCTAGTCCAGTCTATCATCAATGGGCATTTCAGTTGGCTCCAGGTCTTTGCAATTGTAAACAGTGCTGCAATGAATATACGTGTGCATGTGTCTTTATAACAGAACAATTTATACTTCTTTGGATATATACCCAATAATGGGATTGCTGGGTCAAATGTAATTTCTACTTCTAGGTCCTTGAGGAATTGCCACACTGTCTTCCACAATGGTTGAACTAGTTTACACTCCCAGCAGTGTGAAAGTGTTCCTATTTCTCCACATCCTTTCCAGCATCTGTTGTCTCCTGATTTTTTAATGATTGCCATTCTAACGGGTGTGAGATGGTATCTCAATGTGGTTTTGATTTGCATTTCTCTAATGACCAGTAATGATGAGCAATTTTTCATATGCTTGTTGGCCTCATATATGTCTTCTTTTGAAAAGTGTCTGCTCCTGTCCATCACCCACTTTTGAATGGGGTTGTTTATTTTTTTCTTGTAAATCTGTTTTAGTTCTTTGTAGATTCTGGATATTAGCCCTTTGTCAGATGGGTAGATTGCAAAAATTTTTTCCCATTCTGTTGGTTGCCGGTTCACTCTAATGATTGTTTCTTTTGTTGTACAGAAGCTCTGGACTTTAATTAGATCCTATTTTTTGTTGCCAATGCTTTTGGTGTTTTAGTCATAAAGTCCTTGCCTATGCCTATGTCCTGAATAGTTTTGCCTAGGTTTTCAATCCTAAGCAAAAAGAACAAAGCTGGAGCCATCACACTACCTGACTTCAAACTATACAAGCCTACAGTAATCAAAACAGCATGGTATGGTACCAAAACAGAGATATAGACCAATGAAACAGAACAAAGGCCTCATAAGAATGCCACACATCTACAACCATCTGATCTTTGACAAACCTGATAAAAACAAGCAATGGGAAAAGGATTCCCTGTTTAATAAATGGTGTTGGGAAAACTGGCTAGCCATGTGCAGAAAGCAGAAACTGGACGCCTTCCTGACACCCTACACTAAAATTAACTCCAGATGGATGAAAGACTTAAACATAAGACCTGGCACCATAAAAACCCTAGAAG